ACCGCTAGATTCACACATACATTTTTTTAAGAGGCGAGTGTCTTCGGCCAATCAGATGTCTGCTTCATTTTAAGCCAATCACATGCGACAAGGGTGTTGCGTTTGCAACGTAGCGTAACATCTACGTGGTTTGCGGAGTCTGGGGGTGTGACAGAGTCCGGGGGGGGGGGTGATAGTTCAGAGTTCATCTCCAACAACATGGCATCTGGAAGTGGCGCTCCCGCTACTACACATCTTTTCGTTAGTCATGCAATAATCTCGAATTATAATTCACTACTTTTGCTTAATTATGAAGGTAGCTCAGTTAGTTCGAGGATATTTTGAAACCTGTTCAGTAGGTTGAATTGTGTTGTAGCTAATATAAGCTAACATTAGCTAGCGCTGCTAAGTCTGTCTAAAGTTTCTGCATGCTAATTTGGTTGTTCTGCTATCAAGTATTATCTTTAAATGAAGTTGACGTTATTGAAAATAACTGTTTGACAGGGTCTATCGCCTCTAGTAGAAGTATATTGGCGTTCATGATTAAGTATGTTTAAGCTATGAATGGTTGCTTCGTTACTGGTGTGTATTGATTTATTATGCGTGGCATTTAATACTAGCGTTTTCAAGCTAAATAATGCTAATTGACAACCTAGGTCCGCGGGCCAAATCCGGCCTGCGACTTCATTTTATGTGACCCGCAAGAATATAATACGTTTATTATACGGTTACATGCCGCTTTACAGAAGCACGTTGCCCATAAACTACATGTCCCACAATGCATCTCATTTTGTGACATGCACACTGAAGATACTTGCAATTATTTGCCCTAGACTTCTGCTTCCAGACGTAGTTAATTTTGAAGTTATTACCCTATCCGATAATAATCCAATGCAGAGCCAATAATGTAATATAATACATTGTTTTATATATATAATATATGTATATCTATATAGTCTTAAAGTTACAACCGGCTCTTTGAGTGTAACCATAATGCTGATGTGACCCACGATGAAATTTAGTTTGACACCCCTGACCTAGGATGAGTACGATCATAAGGTAACTTGGAGTAATCGGTGTTAGTAAACAAGTGTTCGCCCGCAGAACACTAGTGGGCAAAATCAACGTTCTAATCACAGTAAATTCAGTGGTAGCAAAGTAGCGGTGGGCAAAATATCCTCAAACTAACTGAGCTACCTTCATAATTAAGCAAAAGTAATAATTTATCATTCGAGATTATTGCATGACTAATGACAAGATGTGAAAGTATTCACTGTCTGATTGTCACACAAGCAGCTGATAAATATCCCTCATCCCCTTAAGTGAATATGTTTCAGTATGAATTGACGCTGTTTGGCATCACAACGCTGTTATGAAAGTTTCTCTGGTATAAAATGAGTGATGTTAGCTTAGCAACCGAAGCTAATCTGACTATCTTGACTACTTATTGCTATCCTATTGTGGCATAAGCCGTTTTCTACAGGCACATTTTACCGGCGTATTTTTCATTATGATTTTACTTGTGATAGTCGGACATGACAACCTGTGCAGCCCATGTATTGAGTCCATCCGATAGCATGCTATAATACAAAACAAAACGTCTGCCTGCTCTCCACAATGATCAATAACAGAGAACGGATTATCTAAAGTAAGGTAAAAATAAACAGAATCACACGAAGCCTGGTTAGTGTTGCCTGACTTTATAAAGTGGGTTTTTTATAAGTGTGTGGTCGCGTTCTATGCCCCTTTTCCACCAAACCGGTTCCGGTTCAAGATCCGTTCTTGTGCTTTTCTGGTGCTTAACTGATTCTTCTCTGTAGCACCACTTGTGTTTCCACCGCTCAGAGCCCGACTGGTGCTGCGTGATGACATCAGTGTGTACGTCGCTGATTTTTCACCGGGATTTACCGACCGCTGCAGTGCTGCTCGTCCACCGGAGTTTATTCTCTCGTTAACTCAAGGCAGAGTTTAGTCTCCCGTTAACTCACGGCAGAGTTTATTCTCCCGTTAACTCACGGCAGCGTGAAAGGGGCATCAGATGTCTGCTTCATTTTAAGCCCCCCACAAGGGTGTGCTTAATGAGTTTGTAACGTAGCATAACATCTACACGGTTTGCGGAGTCTGGGGGTGTGAATGCCCCTTTACCACCAAACTGGTTCCAGGGCCGGTTCCGGGCTAAAGCCTGATTAAGCTCTGGTTCTTCCTGTTTCCACCGCAGCAGAGCCGGCTCTAAGCACCGAAAACCGGTGCTTAGCTGGCCCCACTCGGCTGCCCGGCAAGAACCAAGAACCAATACTTCACGCTTACGTCGGAGGGGGGCGAGATTAACCTGAGCAATAACAGGCGAGTAGGGCAAATAAAAGTTGTAACAAGCAGTAGTGCTGAGCAAAGTGACTAGAACGCAACCACACACTTTATAAAGTCAGGCAACACTAACCAGGCTTAGTGTGATTCTGTTTATTTGTACCTTACTTTGACCATCCGTTCACTGTTATTGATCATTGTGGAGAGCAGGCAGACGTTTTGTTTGTTATTATAGTAGCTATCAGATGGAATCAATACATGGGCTGCACAGGTTGTCATGTCCGACTATCACAAGTAGAATCATAATGAAAAAGACACTGGTAAAATGTGCCTGTAGAAAACGGCTTATGCCACAATAGAATAGCAACAAGTAGTCAAGATAGTCAGATTAGCTTCAGTTGCTATGCTAACATCACCCATTTTATATCAGAGGAACTTTCATAACACTGTTGTGATGCCAAACAGCGTCAATTCATACTGAAACACATTCACTTATGGGGGGGGGATATTTATCAGCTGCTTGTGTGACAGTCAGACAGTGAATACTTTCCAGCAGCCGCTAAATGAACCACGAAAAGTATAAGGGTTGAGAAGTAGTTCTTTAATTGTATCTGGCTCCGTATGATTAAAAGCAACACGATCATCGAGTCGACGCAGTCACCCATTGTTGTTGTAGGCGGCGTTGGGGAGAAAATCAGCGACGTACACACTGATGTCATCACGCAGCACCAGTCGGGCTCTGAGCGGTGGAAACACAAGTGGTGCTACAGAGAAGGACCAGTTAAGCACCAGAAAAGCACAAGAACGGATCTTGAACCGGAACCGGTTTGGTGGAAAAGGGGATTGGCCGAAGACACTCGCCTCTTAAAAAAAATGTATGTGTGAATCTGTCAGGGGAGTCTCAAAAATTCACACCCAAATGCAGAGAGATTCACACACAGAAAGCATTTTTTATATAAATGTAACAACACTCAAATATGTTTTTGACTATTTGTGTGTGGATCAGAAATATATTTGTTAAACTTTTTTACATTTATAAAATGATACGTTTTTGTGTGTGCATTGTCTATATATATATATATATATATATATATATATATATATATATATATATATATATATATATATATATATATATATATATATATATATATCATAAGTATATATATATATATCTCTCTATCTCTCTCTATAGTCTATCTCATCTCTCTATATCATCTCTTCTCTCTTCTCTCTCTCTCTCTCTCTCTCGCTCTATCTCATCTCTCTCGATCTATATCTATAAAGACATTATATATAAATCGGGACATTACACTTTGTGGTCTTTCTGTGTGCATTTATTTATTTTTGAGACTGATCTGACCCCATACACAGGGTGGGGGGTTTCTCCATGTTATCACAGTACTTTCTGCTCTTTAAAGGTCCCATGTCATGGCCATTTCTACTGATCATAATTCCATTGTTGAGGTATACTAGAATAGATTTATACTGTGCAATTTTCCAAACTCACATTGGTTTCTCATACAGCATCTCTGTAAAGTATGTGTATTCACCGGTATTCACTCTCTATCCTAAACGGCTTGTTGGAGCTCCTGCCCCCCCCCCTCCCTGTGAGCCCAGTGTGCTCTGATTGGTCGCGACGTTGAGAGGCTCGTTGCTGCGAGGAGCAGACAGGCTTCCGTGTCGGCGATACAGCGAGAACAAGCTAAACTCATCCTGAGCACAGACAAACACTCACAGCCGAAGTAAAAACAATAAGTGTGGCTTGATATTGAGTAAGAAAAAGGTTTATAACGCTGTGAGCATGGGTCTGCGCAGAGCATTTCTCCGCCATCCCAACGTAGTAGTCCGAAAAACGTTTACCCATTTAAAGAGTCGTGGTAGATACCTTGTTTGTTTTAAACATCATAAATACACGAACAACAATGAGTACTTACAGGTTGTGTACCCGAATCTCCCGCTGGTCCAAACAAAGTAGGAACAGCATCGTTCTTCAGTGCCCTACGCTGTACATATCCGGCATGAATCGCTGAAAGGTTTGGGAAGCTTTGTTTTGTGAAAGGCTGGCAGAGGGTGTGGCCTCTGGGTATCCCCACGTCAGAGTACCCAGGAAGTAAACATTGGAAAATGAGAAATCTCCAACGAGGCGTTTTGGAGAGGTCTTTTCTGTGTTAGAGTTTTACTCGCTACAGGGTGTACTTTGAGGGGTTTTGACTCTGCAGACCGTTTACATGCATAAAAACCTTCATAACACACAAGGGGACGGGTAATAACCGGAAAAGCATGACATGGGACCTTTAACACTATTTTGAGAGGGATTGCTAATGTTAGCTATTAGGAATTGTTAGGCTGCTGTCCTGACATAGGAACAGCCTGAAAATCCATTTTAGTTCCTGCAGCTCAGGATCAGATGCAGAGATTAATTTCTCTGAGAACTCTTATCGTACGTTATCAGCAATTCAATTCAATTCGAATAGCTTTATTGGCATGACCATAATGACAAAGTATTTCCAAAGCTTTGTACAATAACCACATCTATACATAAATATACATTTGGACAATATAATATGTTGGTTAAGTTCATTTTTTATTTTTTTTTACAAAAGCAAGAATAATGCTTTTTCTTTACTGGGAGAACAATGTACTTTTTGAACATGAACTAGAAAATGAAAAAGAAAACACAGAAAAATAGAAGTGACATGTTTTCCTCTTTTCAGGAGCTGTGGAAGGTGACCTCCACCCCCCTGCCATCTGAGCGGACCCTTCCCCCTGAGTCTGCTTGTGGTAGCAGTTTGAACGCTGAGCCCCCCACCCCACATGTTCCCATTCATAGATCCTGTTAGGAGTTCAGTTTGCTAAATAAGTAGAATGAAACAATTGACTAAATTCAAGACGGAAACAAAAAATAAATATAGTTTATAAAGGGACTTTTTTTTTTCAGGAATTTCGAATAATTTATTTTTTTAACTAGATTTATGCATTCTTGAACATAAAGATATTTATAGGAAATGGAAGTTCTCCAGGTTTGTAATGAGAACGTTTGATGTTTGAACAGTAACCTTTGTATAATGTTAAATAAAGTGTTGCAGAACACATACCCTACAAGTTGGTCATGAAGTTAGTATTTGGAAGAAACTCAATTGCATATTTTTAAAGTATTTTTGTCTTCTTTGACTTCAGAAGCAGATTTGTGAGTTTAATGCTTGACAGAAGCTGTAATGACGAGATAATAAGAATAATAACAAACTGTGTGCGCGTGCAGGAAACTCATCAATGTTACAGCTCGTATGACACAGAAACATATTAGTGAAGTATATCTGTTGGATATGGAGACTCTTCTGGATCCCATGCTGGCGGTGTGTGTTGCTCAGGGCGACGGATCTGTGAGCATGCCATCAGGTGTGTGTTCAGCCACATGTCCTCTGATCCAGCTACGGGTCACTGATCCTTTACAGTTTTCAGGAGACCCACTTTTTCATACAAATCTTGTTGTTTATATCTTACAAAACAGATATGAAAATATTGTCTTTAACTTTATAGTCAATGTCTGTTGCCCACATTTTTGATTTCATACTTTGTGTGCAAACTACATGACGTGCTCTATCTTTACTGTATTAGAACCCTTTCTCACCTAAAGAAGCTCCAGAGTCCCATGCTGCATGAACTCCTTCACCAGCAGCACTGGTCATTAATATTCACTGAGCATATCTGTGGCTCTGATATGTATTCTTTACTTACAAAATATGTATTTATGAATACTAAACGAGAGCATGTCATACATTAAATAGAGGAACAACCCCCCACCCCCTGCTTTAGGTAGAAAAAAGCAAAACCATGTTTAATTAAAACTACATTTTTTTTTTTTGGCTGGTGTTTGGAACCTTCCCATAACAAAAAAAGAGTGACAATGTCGGCTCCTCTGAAGGGGCGATGTTGGCCGTATCACATGTATCTCTGGAAAAAAAAGATGACAATTTACCATCTTTGTCATATTAACACTTTAACACACATAGGCGGAAATGTAATGCCGTCAGAATGGGCTATAATTATGTCAAACTTTGTCATACTAAATACATTATTCTTTATATTTTACGTAATCTTTGAATAGCTCAGTGGATACTGTGATGCCATGAGCTAAAACTTGGCATATTGTTTTCAGATAATTTAAATGAACATTTCAACAATAAGATTGGATAAATGTAATCATTGTTAAAAATCACCATTATTGAAAATGAATAATTAGTGCCCCAAAGTTTCAGTACAGGAACCAAAGAAAGAGAAGGGCTGCCCCCTGGGGGAGGACCTCCGTCTGCACAGGAGAGCCATCTCTCTCTTTCAATTCAATAGCTTTATTAGCATGAGTCATGACCATAGTAACATACAGTATTGCTAAAGCTCTGTATAGTTGCAACATCTATACACAAATACATACATATAAACCCGGGTGTTTTTTCACGAGGGCCACATTCAGAAAAACATACGAAGGGCTGGGCCACTCACTAGAGGTATACTGCCTCAGAAGTTAAGTTAGAAGTTAGAAAAATCCATCAAATGTAGGTAAACTATTCTTGATACTTGAAAAAACAACCTCAAAGCTCCCCATAGGGTTTCATTTATTGTGTTGGCGGCTCATTCCTTAAAACAGAAGCTTCAGATTGCTGATAAGAGGAAATATGAAGGGTATATTTCAAGGTTGTTATGTAAATGTGTTATGGGGCTTATTTCTTATGAACTTAGATTTGTTAGAAAAAAATGTTAACTTAATTGACTGAATTTATTTGAAAATTGGGCTTATTAACACATGAATACTGTGTAATATATTTGAACATATATTAGAAGTACAATATAAGACAAGCAGAAGTTTCATTTGTAGGCCATATTTCATTATACTTTTTTAATTTGCTGAGGGCCGATTCAAAATGGTCAGAGGGCCGCATTTGGCCACCGGGCCGTAGTTTGGATACTCCTGATATAAACAAACCGCAGCATTTTAAACATTAGCAAGAACTTTTTTCTTTCTTTTTTTTTACAAGGAACTCTCTCTCGCTCTTTCTCTCTCTCTCTCAATTAAATATGAATAGCCTTTTTGCATGACCCTTATGACATCTATTATACACATTTGCTGTTGAGTGTTGTGAACACACCTTTTTCGAGCTTGAACAAACATCTCAACGAAACATCCCCCCCAGTCCTAACGCCGGTGGACTGGAAAGCAACAGGACCAGCGTGATGGTGTGCAATAACTTGTGTATTACCATATACGTTATTATTACATAAAGGAAAGAGGAGTGACTCTCTGACAGGGAACAGGAGAGAGAATAAGCCCCTCCCCCTCAGAGACAGGCCTGGCAGTAGACTACACACTGTAAACACACACACACACACACACCCGGAGCTGCTGCGCGCGGTCGGTCGGTCGGTCGGTCCTCTTGTCCCGGGATCTGTTCTCCGGTCCGCCTGCTGTCTCCTGATCCCTGGTAAGTGCCGCTGCTTTAGCTCCGTGTCTCGCGCAGGGTCTGATCCCTGTCATGTGACTCGGTGCGGGGCTCGGGTCCGTGTCGACCCTCATCAGCACCGACTCAGGCAGGGCCGGGGGGGGGGGGGGCTCACACCGTGCTGTTAGCAGTTATGAGACCATCATAACTATCAGTGTCGATCCAGACCCATGAACCGCAGTGAGGCAGTCACATCGAGTCGGAACCAGATTTTCCAGAAGCGAGAAAGAACACATACCTGTTTCTATACCGGTTTGATACACCTTAAGCCTTTAAACACACACACACACACACACACACACACACACACACACACACACACCCACACACACACACACACACACACACACACACACACACACACACACACACACACACACACACACTATCTCTCTTGCAGCAGGGTGAGCATCAGTTACATATCACAGCCTCTTCCTTTCTAGTGAGAAGCTGCTCAAACACTCAGGGATGTTCCTCCACATTCAGCAGAGGTTACACTTAATACATTCATATTTAGTTCATCCGAAGCTTAAATGTTGTATGGTATTCAATTGTTCATCTTGTGCAGCTCAGTTCAGGACTACTGGACCTGGTAAAAATCACCACGAATATAATTTGCAATTTCAGTTTATTGACCAGTGAAAGTGCCTGTCCAGCATTCTCCAGATGTGTACACAGCTTCGGTTTGTGACTGAAATGTTCTGAATGATTGGCCACAGGATATGCAACGGGTGTCTCAGTGTGTGTGAACATGTAGAGGAAGCTGTAAATAGACATATTGCTGCTATAACAAGGACAGGAAGCTAAACAGATTAGCAAACATAAACAATATGTCATTGTTAGTATGTACAAGCATGTGCAGGTATATGAATATGAACACATTGTGTGGGCCTCACTCACAAATGTTAGTTTTTACCATATCTTAGTTTCCTAAAAACAGAATAAAAGAAACATGAGAAAATGTTGGGATAACAAAGACGTCTGACTCACCATCACTAGTCTTACTGAATCAGAACAGCAGAGCTCTGAGAGATATCTGGATCATGATCATCTCTTATGAAGCTCTTTGCTCATGTATGCATACAAGGAGCACCGTTGGTTTTTACCATTTCAACCGGAAGCATTTTCACAACAAAGTGAACAGAATGCTACAGCATGGTGAAGCACGCAGGAACAGAAATACTTATTCATTTATTAAATTCATATTTATAATGAAATACTGAAACAAATCAATATGAGAGTATTAACAGAGAGCTCTCAACACATGGCTCACTGCACTGTTTCCATACAAACTGTGCAACATGTCATATCTGTCTGCAGAAGTCCTGATCTCTGTGCTGTTATGAAGCAGGGCTGGCAATACATATCAATATGATGTCAGTATTGGGATGTGACACTGGATATGGGCTTAGAATTGAATATCCTAATATCATGTCATTTCCTGTTTTTAAAAGCCGTATTTCAGTAGAGTAATGCTTCAGTAGAGTAATGCAATGTTCTGGAGTTCGGAGTGGATTAACATTTCGTGATGGTGTCATTATTTTATGGCTATTACATGATTTTACCTTGTGCAATCAAATTATTATTCATGATGATCAGTTAAAGCAAAATGCAGTCTATCGCCACTTTAAGCTATTGAGGAGATTCCTCTCATCTCAGATCAGTGTCTTTCCCCTCAGCCACGCCAACTGTGTGGAGATACAAAGGAGCAGCAAAGCTCTCCACATACAGCATGTGAGCTTCTGAGGAATGAACCAGTCTCACCAGTGGCGGCGCCAGAGATTTTCTTTTGGGGTGCTGTGGGGTAGCTTGACGTTTCATAGAGGGTGCTCAAACATGTAGGGTTTCCCATTAATGTACCGGGCGCTACAGTGGAATTTTCTACTGCAACACTCCCCACACAAATACACAGTGTACCCGCGACTGTTACAGTGACGGCCCGTCCACACAGCGGCGTGCGTTGAAGCTTCTGCCCATTCACTTTGAATGGGGTGACGTCACGCCGAACTGCATTGTGGGAGTGAAGCGTAGCTTCAAAAGCGTTGCTCGCTGCAAAAGTTGAGCAATGTTCAACTTTTGAAGCTTCGGCGGAAGCGTCAGCCAATCGAATCATATGCCAGTACAAGCTCTAAACCGCGTGCTTGTGTGTCCGGGGCGGGAGATTCATGTGATTGGTTGTTGGTCGAGTTTCAGCCCCCCCCCCGCCGGCAAGCTTCAACGCACGCCGCCGTGTGGACGGGCCGTGAAGGCTCGATAATCAGCTCACGGCATATAGGTGTAAGCAGAGGTAAAGTGCTTCTTTTTTTTAAGTGGGGGGTGGACCTCACCTCCCCTAGGGGGGTCCGGGGGCATGCTCCCGGGAAGTTTTTTTTAATATTGAAGTTAAAAGCATCAATCTGGTGCACTTTGAGAGCAACATGAAGAGATCTATGGATACCTCTCTCAACACCCATATGAAACAGAACTGTAAACAGATTTACTTTTTCTTTATGCATATTTTACAAATCACTCCCCTTTCAAACTGTATTCTTGTTTTACTGTCATAGTATTTCATGCCTGATTTTCATTTATTCTCTTATTTTTTTATACCTATAATGATCATATAAACGTGTGCCTCAGAAATACTTATTTACATGAACGGTGACCAAACCGTTTGAGACCCACTGAGATAACTTAGCCTAAAGTGAACTATCTAAACACTGAGAGAGTCCTTTACCTCACTGATGTTATCTGAGACTCTCAGTCTGACAGGAGAGAGTCCTCCCTCCACCTTGTTGTTGAAAAAGCTCCTTATATCCGTTAGCGTAGCTAGCTAGCACCAGATGCTATCCACAACGATCTCCGGCACCGGTGCACGCTCTCTCTCTCTCGCTCGCTCGCGCACGCACACAAAATGGCTCGTGCCACACACACGCAGAGCAGAGTTTGAATGAAACACAGAGATGACCCAGAAGTACGTGTACTGTAGCATATTATTTTAGAATCAATAATTTTTCAAATTATGAATTTCACACATAAAAAAAAGAAAAGACATACATTTCTTGGGGGTGCTATGGATATCCTGGGGGGAGCTTCAGCACCCCCTAGCGCCCCCCTGGCGCCGCCTATGAGTCTCACCCCTGTTACTCAATGCTTGTGCACCGTTGGTTATCATAAGGCAGGACATTTCTCCATAATCATTGACAGTGATGGTCGGTCAGTAATTACTGCTTTAGAGTCCATGCAGTCGGATGACATACTCAACACACATCATCGCTATTAGCTAGCCACTAAACTTTTCCTGCCTTATACACTCATATGTTAGATGATCATCATTAAAACATATGCACCTGGCCTTTAAGGAAGAAAATAGGAAAAATACATCAGAAAATAAGCAGCTGCTGGTATGATGTGAGGCGATGAGCTGGAGGAGAGAAGCGTTGGAGGTAGAGAAATATTCAGTCCGATGTCAGTTGTAGTTGTGTTACACAGTGATG